GTTAAAATTTCAGGCTCTGGAACCAATTTGTCTGGGTTTGATGTTAGCTCTGCCTCTCTATGATGTTGGGAGACTGTGCTCACACTGCTTATTCGTAAAATAGAAACAGCAATAGTACCTCTTTAGAGTGGTGTAGTGAGGGACAAGTGAATTAGTAAATATTTGGCCCATAGAATAATGCAATATATGTTGACTGTTTTTTTTTAATTTCTATAAATTGACAGGAAATAAATATGTAATGGATAAAAAGATAACACAAAAATTATAAATATTATGATATAAAAATAAAGCTTTTAACAAGAAAAAGAAGAGAATTTATTTATACCTACTTATCATAGCAGAGGATGAGACTGGATGTTATTCTGAAGTCTTGTATTAACCAGCATCGTGAACATCAGTAACTTTACAGCCTCATCTGAATCTCATTTGCTGGGGTTTTTAAGGTATTTTTAAATGACCTCTTTTATTTGACAAGTAATACATATACATATATTTTGCAAGAATGCATTAGGAATTCTAAAACAGCAAAACATATGTCATGCCTCCCCTCATCCAGAGGTCTAGTTGCTAATTCTTTACTGTGTCATTCTAGACTGTTTTGTATGACCTATTGCTATAAAGTAGATTTCTCTTTAAACATGGCCTTTTCCTAAACAAGTATTGTTTTGAACCTTGCTTTAAATTTTTAAAAAAATCTGCATTGAGCATTTTTGCATATCAAGTTATATACTTTTAAAGTATATTTAACTGATGCCGGTGTAACATTGTACCATAATTTGCTGGCATCGTCATGTATTGATGTATAGTTAGATTATTTACTTGTTTGATGTATTTGTTTACTGATGTATGGTAGATTATTTGTGTATTTAGTTACCATTAGAAATTATGTTGTAATGAGCATCTTTGAGTCTCCCACAATGCAGTCTTGTGGGATTATTTCTTCAGGATAAACTTCTAGAAATAGAATTTTTGTGTCCCGGATACCTCATGTCAAAACACCTCCAAGAAGACTGCTCTGCAACAGAGTCTAAAGTGCACCCAGGGCTCAGGTTGCTTCTCGTGGATCTTCTAACTGGAATGTGGCAGGAGGTAGACAGGTGGGCGGGCGTGAGCCCTGTGCAGTCAGGGATCTGGTTTCCATCTCTGCCCAGACACCAAAGGATTGTCTGCTTTCAGGTGAGCTAGGAGTCTCTCTGAGACTCAGTTTTCTCAGCTGCAAAAGATTTTGAGGACTGGATAAGGTAAACTTACTAAGTTTTTTATGAGCATAAGTCCTACGGAATGTTAAGTTCTGAGTAAACAGTAGCTGTTATTATGATAAAATACTCAGGGCCTATATAAAATAAGGCTCTTATATATAAATAAATACATACATACATATGCAAATATACATATGTAAACATATACATATATATTCTATATATAAAATTCCTATATAAAATAAGACCCTTATATTTAAATAAATACATACATATACACATATATATGCACACATACATGTGTAAATGTATACATAAATATGTATTCTACATATAAAATTAAATACCATATAAAACAAGGCCCTTATATATAAATAAGTACATACATACATATGCACATATACATATATATGTATTCTATATATAAAATAAAATGCCTATATAAAATAAGGTCAATTGCATTTTCTGACTAATCTGGAAGAAGCAAGAATTTCTAAAAGTGCTGTCAGAGTAGTGGCTCATTGTCAGGTGTTTAGAAGTCTCCTGCAAGGTGACTGAGCACTCAAAGCACAGTCCCAACAAGGTGTAGACTGACAGAGGGGCTGTGTGCTGATACTACAACACCTGCCCTGCCAAACAGCCGCATCGGCCACACTGGCTGTCGATGGGTGTCGGGCTGATGGACTTTCTGGCTAATTTTGTGCATCTTGATATGGTCCCTACACATCCTCCATTTCTCAGATCTGTGGATTCTGGATCTTCGGAACAGGTCCTAGCTGTGGAGCTGGGGCAGGATTTAACAGACCACCGGACGCCTCCACGTCATCAGTCGTGAGGCATGGTTCCCCTCCTCCCTGCCCCCACCTGCTGCCATCCAGTGGGGCATGGCCAGGACACTTCGCGACACCCACCCACATCCTGACTGGGGACCTGCAGAAAGCAGGGTTGTGCCACTCCCAGATGGCGAACACTTCTGTAGGGAGTTTCTTTCCAGGAACACTTTCAAAAATGCTTTCTCTATTTTTTCTTTTTTTAACTTGCTTAGTTTAGGGAGGATATTATATCTGTTAGCATTGAAGAGTGCTGATATACTGATTTTATTTTATTTTTTTATTTTACATTTCTTTTTTTTTTTATCATGTACTGATACATACAATGTGTTGTTTCAATACCTGCATATACCGCACAATGACTCACTTGGGGCAGATGCTTAGTTTTGTACCTGTTAATTATCCCTTCTCTTCCCCTTCCTGGGCTTCTGGTAACTATTATTCTACTCTCTACTTCTATGACAACCACTTTTATTTTTTTTAGATTCCACATGAATGAGACTATATGGTATTTGTCTTTCTGTGCCTGACTGCACTTAATGTGATGGTTTCCAGTTCCGTATATGTTGCTGCAAATGATAGGATTTCACTTTTATTATAGATGAATAGTATTCCATTGTGTGTGTATACCATAGTTTGTAATCCATTCATCCATTTATGAACATATAGGTTGATTCCACCTCTTGGCTATTGTGAATAGTGCTGTGATAGACAGGGGAGTGCAGGTGTCTTTTTGATATATTTATTTCATTTCCTTTGAGTATATACTCAGTAGTGGGATAGCTGGATAGTACAGTAGATCTATTTTTGGTTCTCTAAGGAACCTCCAAACTGTTTCCACAGTGGCTGGACCAATTTACATTCTTACCAGCAATGTAGGAGGGTTGACCTACTGATTTTAAGAAGGCCATGAAACTTGGAAGGCATTTCTGAAGAGAGACATACGTACTTATAAGAATGAATTGTTGGTTGCTGCAGTGGGGGGGAGGGGGAGAGGGGAGAGGTTGGGTTGGGGACACGTAGAATAATTGCAATTTGAGGTGGTGGGCATGCTGATAGTAATGATCCAATCATCACATCTTGGGCACAGGTGCTGATGGTCAGCTCTTTGTCCCATGAAAATGTATAATCAATAATTTTTTTTAAGGAGAATAAATTGTTATTAGGAAAACAGGAAGACTGCCACTTCGTTCATCANATACGTACTTATAAGAATGAATTGTTGGTTGCTGCAGTGGGGGGGAGGGGGAGAGGGGAGACGTTGGGTTGGGGACACGTAGAATAGTTGCAATTTGAGGTGGTGGGCATGCTGATAGTATTGATCCAATCATCACATCTTGGGCACAGGTGCTGATGGTCAGCTCTGTGTCCCATGAAAATGTATAATCAATAATTTTTTTTTAAGGAGAATAAATTGTTATTAGGAAAACAGGAAGACTGCCACTTCGTTCATCACTCTGTGTTGTCACTTTTCAAGGAGGAAGATGAAGGCTCGTGCTCCCCCACCTCCTGGAAAGCCAGCCGCTCTGAGTGTTCACGGGGAACAGAACCCTCCCTGTGACATGGCCCTCGGTCCACAGCAGAACCTGATCCACATGAAGGAGGGGCTGCGGGACACCACCGTGGATGTCACCGTGGTCCTGCCCAGCGGGCAGGAGAAGAGGAGTGTGCTTAGTGGGAGGTAAGAGGCTGGCACCCCAGGAGGAGTCACTGTGCTCCCGTTGGCAAGTCTAGGGAAGAGAGCTGGAGAGTGGTTGTCAAGGTAAAGCACTTTCTCCCACATCAGGTCTGACTCGGGGTCCTAGGAAACAACCTAGGACAACCTGCACTGTCTCACGTGGAATGAGGTTATGCTAACAGGCCCAGCCGTGGTCTACCTGAATCTGCTGGAGGGCCAGACTCCACAGCTCACTCCCATTCGAGGGTAGACTCAGAAAGAAGAGCAGGTGGGGAGCCCCACAGCAGCCTTGAGCCGGTGACCAGCACCCCCGGGCTTGGGCCAGCGCCCACAGGCCGCCACCCGTGTCCTCGGCTCTGGGCTCTGAACTTGCACAGCCAGGAGGAGGCCTCCCAAATTAATTGCTTAAGTGTCCACTCACATGCTGACCTGCAGTGGTCTAAACACAACTGACTGTCAACTTTTTCACATGAAAACAACTCAAGTTTGGGTTAAGGAATAAAACCTGATCCATGGATTTCAAATTTAAGAGAATCAATTTCCAGACCCTCCAAGCCCACAGGTACTCTTCTTAGAGCTGATCTGCCTGTGACCAGATCAGAGCTGATCACAGGCCACGTCAGGCACAAACAGGCACAAAAGAAACATCGGCAGAGCCTCCTTCAATCCCAGTGTGAAGAGCTTTATTACCAGGGGGACTTCAAACTTTATGTTTGATATTGATCAAAATACAGGATATCACAACTATGTTGTTTGATCAATTCTGTGCTATTATGGATAATTCAATTTATAGTTAAAAATTTGAACCAAAGTCACAGGAAAAAAATTTAAAAATCAAATGTTTGTATATGTTTTTATTGTAGAGAAGTCTGATAGAATGACCAATTACAAAAACTTTCAAGCACAAAAACATGTTTGCATAATTCTGACGCAGGAGTGAATGGAAGTAGTATTTCTAGGAAAACAAGAACAAGAAGTTATACAAAATGCTTAACTCTTAAAAAGCAGTTTGCTCGAGTATTTTATGGATATGGTGGAAACCACATCACTCTGCGTTTTTATTCTCATGGATAAATTTTAAAAAGTGATGCAAGACTTTTATTTCAAAATATTAGTGTTTAGATTATACCTGAAATTACCTAATCCTTTGCAACTAGTTTATTAGTTTATTTAATTAATTTATAATGAAAATTCTAGGTGGTCATTTGAAATTGTTTTCAAAATTGTTTTATGGGATACATGAACAAAAATTTTTAAAACATTTTCAAAATTTTCTATGTGATATGTGAACACTAATTTGAGGAGCTTGCTCAGGGTCTCTTTATATAGCTAGGACTGGAACTGTTGAGTCAGGGGATGCAACATCTTTAGCTGTCCCAGGTGGGGAACCAAACTGTTTTCCAAAGTGGTGCTGGGAGTGGGGGTCCTCCTTGCAGCTGTCAAAGCGACAGAGCTCAGGTACAATTACCTACCTGCATTGGATCAATGCAGGAGGTTCCCTGGGCTTGAGGCCCACAGAGGCCAGTATCTCTTATAGCATTTTCCTAGGCCCAGCTCCCAGGGTTCACACGTGAGACAATCGAGTTACAAGAGTTTCTGTGCTGCTTTGTTTTACAGAGTAATCATCGTCCTTAGTACACTTTTCCCATGTAATTTTATAATGTAAGAAGTGTGTCAAATTATTATAGTTTTAAAAACTAGTTCAGAATATGCACGACATTTTACCAGTGAATATATTATGGCCTATTTACCATTCTTATATTTGGCCCAATTTCTAGTTACATATATTTTAAGAAAATGGTGTTGTGGATCCTGTCTTAATACTGTAATACCGGGATCCAAATTTACAAATGCATGAAGATAGAATGGCTGCCTGACAGTAAAAACATTATTTTGAAAAATGCTTTCAAACTCAACAGTTCTTCTAATTGTATCTTTAATTTCTCATTTTTTCCTTATAAAGTAAACACAGTTTTGTAGTACAGTTGCTGAGAATAGGTAACTACAATCTATTAGTAACAGCCACCTTAGAGATTAAGTATTAAAATAACTTTATCTTTTCTAAGTAGTAAATTATAATCCATTCTGCAAGGTTTCCTGGAGAATGAATCAGAGCAGCATCCTGTGAGTCCCTTAGATGGGTCTTCAGTGTGATACCTATTGTGGGTGCAGCACTCTTGCCTCCAGAATTGGTTTTATATGTTAAACTTTTTAATAACACAAGTGTGTGCTGATGTCAGATTCTTGTCCCTTGATTAAAGTGAATCTACTCTTTTTCATCAATGTGGTTTCTCTCTTCTGTTTTAAACAATGGGTTTAGTAAAGAACACGCCTACCTTTTCATAGGATAAGCAAGGAATTTATAATTTATAGCCAGACACTTAACAATTATATTAGTCTGTTCCTGTTGCTTATAACAAAATACATGGAACGGGGTGATTTATAAAGAAAATGAAATTTATTGCTTACAGTTTCTGAGGCTAGGAAGTCCAAAGTCCATCTGGTGGTGGTGACAGTGACCTAGAGGTATCACATTGCAAGATGGTGGAAGCAGAGAGAACAGAGAGAGAGAGAAAGAGAAAGAGACCATCCTCTTCTTTTAAAGCCCTTAGAACCATGCCCTTGACCAACATTTTTAATCTATTCACTA